TGTGAAGGATATAATTTCCAAGAGAGTCGAGCTTGGCAGCTTCTTAGGGGTGTGATTACCTTCAGTATCCACCGCATTCAAATCGTGTCTGCATAGTGATCCCCAGATTTTGTTTTAATCACCAAAATATAGGCCTACTTACAAGCCTTGTCAATATTCATTCTTGTTAATGTTAATTTCTAAGGCTATTTTCATCAAAATAGTTGTTTTACTTTACTTAAATTTTCTTTCACGGGGTTACTGTCGTCATTCGATTTCCCTTATGAATTTTCCAGGTACATTTGTTTGGTGCCCCTTGGCATGGGTAAACGCCGGAGATTACCTGAGAAGCATCGACAGAACTTCTAGCATAAGGGCGAGACATGACAGACCATGGGCTAACTGACATATGGCAAGGGAGTCATTGGAAGTGTTGCCTTCTACCCCTATGGTGGTACACGGTGTTCCGGCGCTGGAAACACATGCATGACGCATAGCAATGGAGATGGCTGTTATCTCATATAGTCCTTGGCGCTTCTGGAGCTATCTCCGTTTTCCGGCTACCTCGCCCCGCTCATCTCACACTGATTAGCTCTCCAGGACTGCTAAGTGTCACATTCAACTCCCCGGAGCAGTTGGCCATAGGAATTCAACGGTGGGAAAATAGGAGGACACACTCGATGCTACGAAAGCAGACCCCGAACCATGAGGAGGGAGCAAACAGGCTTTAATAAGTCCCCGAGCCTCAGTGACACTAGAGCGATGCAGGACTGAGAATAACAGTCTTTGTCACCCAAGTGTCTTACCTGAATCAATGGAAAAACTACAACGAGCCGGAATAGGCCAACTAGTCCCAACATGAAGTCCCCTACCAACAGACAGCTTCTCGCCAAATACCCAACAACACATTGAGGTTGTGAGACTCGCTGTCAGCTACCTATATAGCAATGTGAGAGGACTGAAAGGAAAAATAAACGAACCCAGAAATGTCCGATCACGCCTGCAACTTAAAATAATCATTATCAACGAAACTTAGCTAACCACAACTATCGCCGACAACCAAATCGGTGTAGGTGATACGGTCCTGGTCAGGAGAGACACGGATAATAAGGAAGGAGTGGGAGTTGCTACACTCCTTGACAGGCAATTAAGGTGTGTACGCTTAACGGACCCACCGCTTATTGAACTCCCAGACTCCGTATGGTGCCATTTCACCGTAGGCCACACGAAGAACATACTGGGTGGCATCTAACGATCACCCACCTGTGGGGCAGCGTATAAATAGCTACTACTCAGCACCATCACAGGGATACGGGACTTGAGCTATGACCAAATCACCATAGCTGGAGATTTCAATACCCCATCACTGAACCTTGGCTTGGGTGAGTTAAAGGAAAATTTGGTCGAAATCCATCACAAACTATTTGAAATACATGACTGACTGAGAATGCTGGAGACGACACTACGTGGGGCTGTAGTGAAAAGTCGTCGAAACTAGACTACATTCTAACTGGTGACCAACTACCCGTCGAAAATATTCAGATGATGACTCCTTTAGGAGGTAGTGATCATGCAGTCATAGGCTTCGAACTTTTCTCCGTGAGCACGTTACGCCACTATGTCTGTGTTATAGCAAGGCTGACTATGCTGAAATCCGGAGGCTTTCGTCCGACGCAGATTGGCACTCAGCATGGGGTGGGCTATCTGTGGATGAACACTGGGAAGTGGTAAAAAAGGTTATTCATACAGCAATCTCCGATACCGTCCCTTTAGTCACAATACAGCCCAAAAGAAAGTCAGCATGGCTGAAGAGAGGCATGCAACGTATTCTGCAAGCAAAGTGGAAGTCTTGGTTTACGTGACAGGCTAACCTCGCCGAAAATCTCCTAGCAAGCCCATAAAGGTTGTATCGATTCATGTGAGAAAGAAAACCAACCAAACGGTCAATATCTCACTAGTCTGGAGATGGCTGAAACATTCGGTTTATCCTTCGCCAAACAGCTAAACAGCAATGTGAGTATTATCGTTACGGACCGAAATGGTGGAACTACTATTTCACAGGAGCAAGACCTAGTGGCTACTCCCCAAATGAACCCAGCTATAGTACTAGGGAAGCTAGAGAGACTCACAACTGGAAGGTCCCTAGGCAGTGACGACATCAGGCCGTCTGTTCTGAAACATTGTGCCGAAGCTCTTTGTAGGCCCTTATGCGACTTGTTCCAACACTCAATGGATTCGGGGAAACTGCCAAGGGTGGGGATAGGCAAAATGCCACTAGTTGCAGACCAGTAGTTCTACTCCAAGAGGCACCAAAAGTACTGGAAAGTGTCATCGATGATCATATAAGGGAACACATCGATAGGACTGATAGACTGCATGAAGCCCAACACGGTTTCAGGAAAGGCAGATCCCGTCTCACAAACCTGCCATCAGCTTGGGACGACTTGACATCATGCTGGAATATGAATATTCCAGTCCATGTGGTCTTCCTAGACTTTGAGAGGGCGTTTGACCCCCTTCTACACAAAATAAGTCAGCCAGCTGAAAGGCGATTTTGCACTAAGTTAAATCGAATCCGATTATCTTGGCATAGCCCGTCATCAGGGGTGTCACAGAGTTCCGTCCTAGGGCCACTGATGTTTTTGATTTTTATCAATGATCTACCATTCCGTCTAAGCTTCGCGACTCTCCTTGTATATATATATATCTTGTGTCAGTGAAAAAATTTTAAACATGCTAGCTCCTTGTGTACATTATTACCATATTGATGATGCCTGTCATGTGCATTAAAAGACAGTATATTATTATAAGATACATTTTATTGTTATATTAGGGAATTGACTTCAAGCTTTATTTATTTTCCCAAGTATCCGTAATCTATCCAACGAATACTTGGTTTTTTTGTTAATGCGAAGTCAATTTCCCTATATCTCCTGATGTGGTCTATTGAAGCACTAGTTATCAGATTTTTCCCACAAACTAAAGACCAAATGACAGCAATCGTAAATCACGTAATTTAAACGATATTTATGCATGCCTATACAACTGGTGCATCCAACATATGTAGGAAAAAATATGTTTCTTATTATATTATCTTTACTAAATATGCTTGCTAATCGTATGTGTAATACATCGAATTGACGATGTCTGTAAACTGGCGTCCCTCATGTACAAAAATGAGAATATAAATTATTATTGTACGCTGACGACGTAAAGATATGGAGGGTGATAAAGTGTCCGGAGGACTCAGATAGGCTGCAGGAAGATCTGAATTTTTTGAAAGGCTGGGAGGTGGCCAATGGTATGACTTTCAACCTGAAAAAGTGCAAAATAGTGAAATTACGCACCTATAGACTGCAGAATGCAAGTAACACCCTGTTCGATGAAAGCTTGTCCTGCACAACGTAAGAGCGCGGCCTAGTTCTAGTTCTAACGGAAAAAATGGGCACAAGTGTAAATTCTACGAAGGATGTAGCGAGGGAATATGCGGTCACACACTTTACAAACAGACAGTCGGGTGCAATCACTCCTGAGCTCTTTCTAAGGTTGTACAAAACATATGACACACCACATCTTGAGGTGCATAATATTATTGCATCTCACTGCTTTGAAGAGACGCCAACCTCTTGGAAAGAGTCCAATGACGGGCGACAAAAGGAGTGGTTGGTCTCCAAAACAAAGAATATAATAAAAGGCTGAAGAAATTATGCCTATTCACACTTAGCTTTCGTCATCTTAGGGAGGATTTAATTACTGCCTACAAAATAAAAAATGACCAGAATCCCCAAACAAAGGTGTTCTGCCATTGAGTACGTATAGGCTTCCTCGTGGAAATCCCAGAAGGATAGTTCACCGGATGGGAACGACTCGGGTGCGTTCACACTCCTTTTCAGTTCAGGTTTGCCGTCCATGGAATTCCTGACCAGCAGGTGTAGCTATGGCACCATATGTGGTCACATATAAACGAAGGATGAACAATCATGCAGAGACACAAGGACTGCGTCCAAATGGCCTATCCCCTTAAAATCTCATACACCGCTCAGGGGTAGATAATTAAACTTGTCGTTTTACTTCTTTCCCTTCTCTCCTGACAACTTTAACTACACTTTTTATTATTATTATCATTATTACCGATGTATATTATTTATATTATTCTTCAAATTTAATCAGCTGACTGTTGGTACGTTTTCTTTTTCTGTCTCTTAGTCTCAATAACTTCACTTATTATATCTATTACTATTATCTCTTTTATTTTGACGACGATACCAGAGGACTAACTGGTGGAAGGATCAACTCCAGTCACGGTAGTAAGAGTCTTAACACACCTCACACTACAATCCACTTATGATGAATCCCAGCACTACTCCGTTTCGAGTCAACCACAACTACGACAGTTGAGTGATGGGACGAGCTACGAAGAAGTTTGCTGAAGATAAGGAACCCATACCTGACGATCAATAGGCGATAAGAAAAGAAATCAAACTGGTTTATACTAGCTCTTGTGTGAAATAATCTTACTGCATCAAACAGAAGATATTTCTCCAAAGTATGCGAGGAATCCCTGAAATGAAACGATGATCAAGTTCTCGTGAATATGTCTTCAACGGATGAAAATATATCGCCTTCCACACAGCATGGGAACATGCGCTTATCAGGCAGGAACTGAATTCTCAACCCATATCCGAAGGGAGGTAAGGATTTGTAAGCATTTGATGTAGGTAATTTTCTCCTTTTGTTTGTAAATTTAAGAGAAGTGAGGAGGACTATACAACTCCGATTTGAGTGCGGTAGATAAAGAAGCTAAGGAATTTTGAGTTTACAAATCCTGTAGCAGAAGGATTTGAAGTCAAGAAGGCTCAATTCCATATCGTCACTTCTATGTTTGAAGGTTACAAGCTTATAGTTTTATTGGTACAGCAAAAGAATCTACAAGAAATTGATTGGTATTCAGATGAGGATTAAGTGAGAAAATATCACATCCTTATTTTTGTTAAAGTAGGTTGAAGGCTGCAATTGACCTAAACAGCTGTGGAATTAGGGTGACACTGACCTTAGAGCACTGTTCAAAAAACTATGGATTCGAGGTCAAAGCTTGTTCAAGCCTTTAAGGATTATGGTGGCAGAGTTTCAAGCGAACAGTTACTGAAATTTATAAAAGAGGATAGTGAGTTGAGTCAAGGTATGTTGGAGATCCGGGTTTTCTGATTAAGCTGTATTATCAACCTTAATAAGAGTGCTACAGCAGTCTGCGATTGCAGATTTTTAGTTTGGAGATATAAGTTTCAAATCCCATCTTAACCCTCTTCTGGTAAATTTCTGTGCTTATCTTAAAGCCTTTTGAGCAAATCAATTGATGGCGCTAACACAACTTCCTTTGGGAGTCATTTCCACGAGTTTATTGGAGGACCAGTACCCCACAGTGATGTCTGCAGTCTTTCCTTGACTTTTGAACCCTATTTCTATGCCATCTGAGGTGTTTAGATCTTGTGGAAAGGAAGAGAGTAAATTGAAGTCGTTATCTAAAATCTTAAACATTGTAATGAGATCTCTGGCTGCTGTTTTAAATAAAATGCCTATTAAAAGAAACCGCTGCGGAAGGGCTATGTGCCAGTTTCCAGTGGATGAGGGAATGCAGTGTGATAACTGCAAGAGATGGTTTCACAGTATGTGCACGAACCTTACTCCAGCAGCATACAAACGCTGCTGCAAACCTCTAGCGAACTGGTTATGCAACGACTGCTGTAGTACAACTAAACTCCGTATTACAGAAGCCATAGCTACTCTTAGTGGGGCTTTAAAGCTCATGGACTGCAAGCGTCCTCCACCACAGAAGAATACCGACTATTGCTCAGATAGCGATGACGTGACTAGCGTCATTGACAAAACAGCACATGTCCCAGATGCGACCTTGCCAATAAGTGAGTGCTCTACAGCACAGAAGAACACCCACCATATTACAGACACCCAGGTCGCCCCCACGATACTGGATGAGCCCTCCAGTGACAGTAATGGAAAGACTGCCGTGAAGAAGAGGCGTACTAGGGGTCGAAAACCTGCAGCTCCAGTCGCCCAGGGACTGGCGGAACAAGCCTCATCCACACCGGTGAGCAGCAGACAGACGAACCCCACTAAGATTAGCGAGGAGGACGCCAATGAATGGCGCACCGTAGTCTCTCGCAAAAAGCGAGATAAGGATAACACTTCGGCCACACCGCCCAAGAAGGATAGAAACACACTTACGCCTCAGGGCAAGAAAGTAACGGAAAGCAAACCCGATCTCTCTGATAGGTCTCTCATTCTCCACAAAGTGGAGGAGTCACTGGCTCTCGACCCTAAGACCAGATTCGAGCATGACCTTAACTTGGTCAAGCCCCTTTTAGACAAGCTACTGCCACAAACAGTATCAGGCATTACTATACACAGCGTATACAGAATAGGTCAAAAGCCTGACCCTACAGTAAGTGAACCTGTACGTCTCCTCAAAGTCGTACTAAACTCTAAAGCGGAGAGGGACGCTATTCTAAGCAACTCTCATATTCTCAAAGGATCAGGGATATATGTCCGCGCTGACTTAAGCCTGGCAGACCGTGTCAAAAGACAGGCTGCGGCACTAGAATTAAGTGAGCGACGCCGGAACGGTGAGAAGAACCTTAAGATTAAGGGTTTTCGGGTTGTCCGAGTTCGCAGTTTAATGATCCCGAAACCTCTGTGGGTGGGCCGGGGAAGCACCAATCTGAATTAACAGTCTGCTACACAAACGCCCGCAGCCTGTTAAATAAAAGGACTGAGCTGGCAAACATGATAGAAACCGGAAACCCGGATGTAATTATTATCACAGAGACATGGCTCACACCCGATGTCACTGACAACGAAGTTAACCTGCCAAACTTCGAAGTGCACAGGGTAGACCGACTAAACCGCAAAGGAGGGGGCGTAGTCATCTACCTCAAGAAAGGCTTAACCGTGCGTAGTATCGAAGCACTCGCCCACGAAAGTGAGTCGTGCGAACTTCTACGCTGCAGACTTAAATGCATAGGCCAAGACATTGACCTCATTGCTGTGTACCGCAGTCCTGACTGCAGTGCAGACGACTTCCTAATAGAGAAGCTAGGCTCCTGGACTTCAAAATGTCGAAGTCTCGTAGTCGGTGACTTCAACGCCCCAACAGTTGACTGGTCGAGCCTAACAACTCCATCTTCAGTCAACTCCTTTGACCATAAACTGCTAGAATCTAGTATATCGCTAGCCCTAGTCCAACATATCATTAAGCCCACGCGCTATGACTCACAGCACTCCTCATCAACTCTGGACCTAGTGTTCTCACACGGTGAGGATGTGGATCTCATACAACATCTTCCTCCGTTAGGAAGAAGTGACCATGCTGTGCTCACTTTCAAGTTCACAGCAACGGCAGCAAGGGCCAAAACCCCAGCTCGACCAAACGTTTGGAAAGCTGACATAAATGCGATCGTCTCAGCAGCCAACTCAGTAAACTGGTACATCAATCCAGAGTCCCAAGTAGAAGCCGCATGGAACCAATTTAAGCAACTTTACGCCCAAGTAACTGTACCCTTCATCCCTTGGTCTGTTCCAAAGGGTCGGAAACATTCCCCCCTTGGATAAACCGGGAGATTCGTAAGTTACTCAGACGTAAACGCAAATGTTGGAACCTGTTTGCAACACTTGAGACTTCTGAGACCAGGGAATTATATACTACTGCTAGAAATAAAGCTATCGCAGAAATCCGCCAATCAAGGATGAAGTTCGAGACACACCTGGCCCAAAATGCAAAGGCACAACCTAAGAAAATTTTCTCGTACTTGAATTTCAGGAATAAAACACCCAATGGTGTCCCAAACCTGATTATTGACAAAGATACAATCGAAGAAGATCAAGAAAAAGCAGAAGCAATGGCAAACTACTTCTCCCAAGTCTTCACTCAGGAGTCATCACTGCCTATAGGATCAGCTCTGGCTGCATCAGAAGAACATGGGATAGATTCCGTTGACATCGACCAAGGCATCGTGCTCAACTTCTTAATGAAACTAGATGCAGGAAAATCAATGGGTCCTGACAGTCTTCATCCAAGGCTTCTCAAGGAGCTATCAGCCCACATAGCCGGCCCCTTGACCACGATCTTCAAGCTATCTCTCCAAAATGGAGTGTTGCCACGTGATTGGAAAGACGCCATAGTAACCCCCATACACAAAGGAGGATCAAGACAAAGCCCTTCAAATTACAGGCCTATCAGTCTCACCAGCACTTTAATCAAGACACTGGAAAGAATTATCAAGAAAAGCATCATGGCTTATCTGGAAAATAGCAGCTTGTTATCTGGAGCACAGCATGGCTTCCGGAGGAACCTCTCATGCCTGTCAAATCTCCTGACTGCAAGAGAAAGCTGGGTCAAATCAAAGGATAACAGAAGACCCGTTGACGTCGTCTTCATAGACTTCAGTAAAGCCTTTGATAAAGTACCTCACAAAAGACTACTCATGAAATTGGAAAGTCTTGGTATCAAAGGCAGACTACTAGACTGGCTCAGGGAATTCCTCATAGATAGGAGGCAGAGGGTTAGGATCAACTCAAAACTCTCCTCCTGGACAGCAGTAAGTAGCGGAGTGCCACAAGGCACGGTTCTCGGTCCTCTCCTTTTTATTCTGTATATCAATGAGTTACCTCTGCTCACCGACTCCCCTATGGTCCTATACGCAGATGACTTAAAAATTTGGAGAGAGCTGAAGGGCAACAGTGATACGTTCACGTTGCAAGACGACCTCAACAAACTGTCGGAGTGGTCTGTTGAATGGATGCTCCCGATCAATGTGGCAAAATGTGCAACCATGCGCATTGGACAAGCAAGCACGAGCTCCTACGAACTAGAGGGAATAACACTTCCATCAGTTCAGACTCACTTGGACTTAGGTGTCATAGTTAGCCACGACTTAAAAACTACAGCACACTGTCGCGCGGTGGCTGCACGTAGTTTCAGGTCCTTATGGGCGATTCGCAGAGCCTTTACAAGAATTACCAGAGATATGTTCACCTCCTTATACACATCTCTGGTTAGGTCAAGACTGGAAAACTGCATCCAGGCCGCCAGTCCGTGTCTAAAAGGGGATTCACACATTCTAGAAAGTGTTCAAAGGAAGGCAACACGTATGGTTCACGGCATAGCTAACTTATCATACGAGGAAAGACTAGATAGTTTAAATCTCTTCTCACTGTCATACCGTAGGCAGAGAGGAGATTTAATCACAATGTTTAAAATTTTAAATAATGACTACGGACCTGACCTATTCTCTCTTTTCCTTCCCACCAGGTCGGAACACCTTAGAGGACATAGCAGGAGAGTTCAAAAGCCAAGGAGAAATCATATTGCTGTTGAGTACTGGTTCTCACATCGAGTCATAAACTCTTGGAACCGACTCCCAGAAGAAGTGGTGTCTGCAACCTCAATTGATTCGTTCAAGAAGGGTTTGGACAACCACAGAAATCTACTAGAAAAGGATTAACATAGGCTGCAAGCCTTCTATCCTCAACCAATAAATCTGAATCTGTATGTCAGGGAGAAAAGATTCAAACTATCTAGTCTTTCGTCTTATGATAATCTGGTGGTGCCAAAAATCATATGTACTGCCTTCCTTTGAACCCTTTCTAGACTGTGTGAGTTCCCCTTAAGAGAAGGACTGGCCACCTGGATACAGTTTTCCACTCTTGACCTCATCAAAGATGTATGCAAGGAAGTAAACATATCTCTGGTGATTCTAGCAAATGCCCTGCGTATTGCCCATAAAGATCTGAAATTACCAGCTGCCACTGAGCGACAGTGCTGTGGCTTTTAAGTCGTGACTTATGATTCCTAGGTTCACATGAATCTGAACTGATGGAGGTCATTTATTTTAGTCCTGTCTGCCAAGCTGATGACTTCCAAGTCAGCCACTTTAAGGTGTGGAGTTGTAAAAATAGGTGTCTGATAGTAGGTGATCTTAATATCCCATGTAATAACTGGGGAGGTGAGATTAACATCAACCAGCCTGTACACGTGTCTCAAACAGTCCTCGAATGCGCTGTCAATTCCTATTGTCAATCTTGTATTTCATGACTGAAAATACGGTTATTCAAAAAGAATTAAGTGTCCTAGATATGTTGGTAAAATTTATAGTTCTAATTATTTCAAGCCACTTCTTTCCGCTATTGAATGACTATTAACTGTTTTGATTTGAAATTTTATTTCTAGAACCCAGAAGTTGTATAAAGAAAATAGTTGCTTCGATCGCTGTAATTGAATATGACTCGGTATGAGATCTGTTTGTCTCGATTATATCTTCTTCAGGATCAGAAAAGATATCTAGTTTTGAAAGACTTAGTTCGTGATAAGGAGAATCTTGTCTGCAACGTAAGCGTGTGTTTTGAATTCAATCACTTATTAGACTGTATGTCAGTCGACTCAGACGTCAACGTCGCAGGTTGTGGGAAGGCAAAGATGTGAGGTAAAGATGTTCATGTTTTAGATTTGTGTTGATTTCAGGTTTCCAGCGAAAGTAGTCGACCACAAGAACGAGTAAGTAGTCTTTTTAAACCTATTTCGTTCCTCATTGTCTAATTAAGAAATATTTTTTTGATATCACAAATTATTTTAGTAATAATTTCAGTTGGAGGACATTTGACTGTGTAGTAAAGAATGAAAATGTAAAGTCTAAGGATTTCGAAATTCTTGAAATGATATCAGACTACAGTAAGGTGATGCATTCATGATCTGTTCGTACTAAAAATTGTCAAGGGTATCATAGGTAAACGTGTATGTTTTAGAATAGTTTACGTATTTGCATAAGGGTTTTCTCCTCAAACGTTCATCCATATAGACTTGAAAGTTTAGTCAGTTACATTTTCGCTTCTTTCCTGTTGGTGTGTTTGAAAGCTAAACCTATAATCTTATCTTGATAAAGCTAGATATGTAACTGTATTGAGTTCTTTGACGAGTTATCCACTACTTCTAATTTGGCTCAATGATCTGAGCAATGGGTCTTTGGATCTAAGCAACTCCACCTATTTGAGCATAGGCAACTTGGTAGTTTCACCAGCTGTCACATAATAAGTTCAGCTCATAGTCTGATGTATTGAAAATCCGTTCCAGGTAGCGTTATATTGAGGTGTTTTCTTAACATATTTGTGTGATGCTAATCTGCAACCGGTTCAGAGACCTACGTAATTGTTCTGTTTTGTTACCGATTATAATGTGGCACTACTACTGCTGCTTTGGTTCTTAAGGTTTAGTTAGATCTATTCATAACGAGCAATATGCTACCTTGGTCCATATCATCGTCCCACGGTTTCGTGTTTTCCATGTGTCCATTAGTAGGCATTAGTATTTCTGTTCTGTTTCGGTGATCGTAATTGGTGGCAGGTAACGGATCTCATCCCAATTTATGTGTGATGAAGGCTAGTCTCACTGCCTGTGTAAAATGAATGCGATGTCATAACATAAATTTCAAGTCATAAGTGTGGCATTAGTTTTTGTGTTAGTGTCCTACTAATGATGACTTCTGTTGGTGTTGATTAATTAATGGCGAAATGCTCGAATCACAGATAGGCGGCTTTTGGCCTAACAAAGTATTCCCTAGAGATTTTAGTGTAATTCTATTGTAATTTATTTGAGTGACTTACCAATTTGGCGTCTATCGACACCCGTAATTGAGGTAAATTCATGTTTAATATTCAGAATAACTTGAAATGAATGGGTATATCCTCATACAGGTTTTGTGAGGGTAGAACATAATGAGTTTTATAAATGTATAAGAATTTGGACGAGTTTTATGTCTGTTCTTTGTATTTCTATCCTAGCCAGTGTTACAAAGACCACCTGGTCCTCTAATCAGCGGTGTTTCACCGTCTACTAAAGCTTCTCATATCTATTCAACATACACGGGCAGTGAAACTCGTCTTTGGTGGTTAGCAGCTGTTGATTGTCGATTGGGAGATATGAGACGTCTATTAGGTTTGAATCCAAAACTAGCGAATTGGACTGTAAGTTATGAATTAATCCAGTTTTTTTATGTGCGCGTGTTTGTGTGGTGTAAGACGAGTGAAGGATGAAAAATATTACTTTCTTGTGGCCACATTACTAATCTAGTACGTCGTATTTAAGAAATAATACGGACTAGTATTACTGAAATTTTCCTCAGTGTAGTAAAACTCACGGTTACTTTCTATGTTCGCTTTCTGGTTTTCCTCACACCCGACTTGGTGGGCCACACTAATTGTGACTTTTCACTAGAGCTCTAGGCCATCATCCCACAAAATTAGTGAGGCTATGTCTTATTATAAGAAGATAATTTATGAATCACTGGCGTAGGCTACTAAGCTGTAGGTTTCGTTCGGACTCCTCTCAGTGAGTAGTAGTATTGTACCTACGGTTACTAGCTCAATTCAAGTCATAGCATTATGCCACATGCTGATTACCTCTGCACGATTGGTAATCGAACCAAGTTGTGAGACACAATGGACAGTATGCGATTAATTAAGAAGGTGTGAAAACACACACAAACAACCAATCACGTCCAAGGTCACCAGGAGAGATGATTAATAAACTCGTGGAGAAACCTAAAAGCTCACTTCAATTTGAAGTATGCGCTGAAGATGTCACCCAGTAAGGTGATGAAAGCTTCGCAAACTAACCATCCAGCTCAGAGAACAAAACCACATCAAAAATTAATTAAGATTATATTTGCAATACTGTTGTCTCCCATCAAAGCACATATCTCGAGATAGCATGTTTAGTTGAAGGGCAACCTACATATTTTCCAAATGTTCCACTGTGACTTCATCACCAAGTTCAGAAACTCCTATGACGACAGTATGATAGAATATGAAGAATCGTAAAGTGTCAGAGGCTTTGAGTGTGACTATGCGTTCTAATTTGTTGTAGACGCGAAGTCTGGTGGTTTGAAAAACTTTGCTGTAGCACCGGAAATAGCCTACATTGGCGTACGTTTCTTCATGCCTCTATGCACATGTTAGGAGATGCCGTTCGTTGAATGTGCATCATTCTCCACATACTTTGCACTGTGATTTGTTCTATTGCCAGCCTGAGGAAATGGGGAATGAGGCATGATTGCATGTTGTCGATGTCTGTGCATGAAGTTGTCACTGTCTGAAAAGATGGTCTGTGGTGGGTGTAGAGGTGCAGTAGATGGTCCTCATTTTTTGACTGACTGGGTGAGTTTTAATCGAAGAACTTTGCACAAAAGTGCAGCAGTTAAGGTTGCTGTATTCCAAATAGCATAGATAGGCAGGGAAAGAAATTCAAATTAACTGTGATGAGTGGGAGTGTTTTTGGGAAAGAATATGTGAAGAATGAAAAGAATTCGATGGATCTAGGAGTTCATGTAAAGTGCGCGCGTCTGTGCGATTGAGAAAGATTTTGAGACATCTGACCAATAGTCTCTGGCCATTGGTTCCTCAAGTCCCAAACACCTCAATCAGACAGTATACGCCTGCCTACGCGGCTCGAACCAACAGTCAAAGTCTTAATTCTAAAAAATTTGGGCGCCGAGTGAGAAGTAGACATTTGTAAAAAATTATATTTGTATAATCTCAGCGATATTGAAATGAGTAATTCCAACGTTTCGTTCGGCAATCTGGTCCGAACTTCTTCAGGGAAATTAATCGAAATTAACATAACAGAGGTTTATATATAAAAGGAACATCTCTTATTTTTAAAAACACTTTGTCCAATCATGAGTCATAAAACAGGCATCAACATGTACAATAAACAAAATTGTATGAGTTGTGATCAAAATTTGACCTCAGACTTACAAATATTGATCTACCTTTGTTAAAAACTTAAAAAAAAAAAAAAAAAAAAAAAAATAAACAGTTGTAAAACAATGTCTTAACGTCTCCATAAGTAGATATAGACAGTCAGGAACTTTGATCAAGTATTATTAGTTAGTGATACATATCCATTCTTATTTATTAATCAGGATTTCCTATGCGTCAGCTAACATCACACCTTCATGTCTGTTCAAACTGTTAGTATCTAGAATCTTATGATTAGACGTATTTTCAAAATTATGGTGTTTAGGATTAGAGTTTAGTTGAAGCACCCTGTCAAACTCATGACTTTGTCTTCTTTCTGAAAATTGAGCTGATTTATTCGACCTACTGGAGTTGTCAGTTGACTGGACAGCTACGGATTTAGGGTACGCATTCTGTTGCAGACAACGGAGAGTGGAAACACGATGATTGTGCCAATTACATAGTTTCTTTGTTAATTTAATTCGATTGCAAAATAAATCAAATGAACTGTAGTCAAGATTTGACAGAATAGTTCTAAAAAATTTGGGCGCCGAGTGAGAAGTAGACATTTGTAAAAAATTATATTTGTATAATCTCAGCGATATTGAAATGAGTAATTCCAACGTTTCGTTCGGCAATCTGGTCCGAACTTCTTCAGGGAAATTAATCGAAATTAACATAACAGAGGTTTATATATAAAAGGAACATCTCTTATTTTTAAAAACACTTTGTCCAATCATGAGTCATAAAACAGGCATCAACATGTACAATAAACAAAATTGTATGAGTTGTGATCAAAATTTGACCTCAGACTTACAAATATTGATCTACCTTTGTTAAAAACTTAAAAAAAAAAAAAAAAAAAAAAAAATAAACAGTTGTAAAACAATGTCTTAACGTCTCCATAAGTAGATATAGACAGTCAGGAACTTTGATCAAGTATTATTAGTTAGTGATACATATCCATTCTTATTTATTAATCAGGATTTCCTATGCGTCAGCTAACATCACACCTTCATGTCTGTTCAAACTGTTAGTATCTAGAATCTTATGATTAGACGTATTTTCAAAATTATGGTGTTTAGGATTAGAGTTTAGTTGAAGCACCCTGTCAAACTCATGACTTTGTCTTCTTTCTGAAAATTGAGCTGATTTATTCGACCTACTGGAGTTGTCAGTTGACTGGACAGCTACGGATTTAGGGTACGCATTCTGTTGCAGACAACGGAGAGTGGAAACACGATGATTGTGCCAATTACATAGTTTCTTTGTTAATTTAATTCGATTGCAAAATAAATCAAATGAACTGTAGTCAAGATTTGACAGAATAGTTCTAAAAAATTTGGGCGCCGAGTGAGAAGTAGACATTTGTAAAAAATTATATTTGTATAATCTCAGCGATATTGAAATGAGTAATTCCAACGTTTCGTTCGGCAATCTGGTCCGAACTTCTTCAGGGAAATTAATCGAAATTAACATAACAGAGGTTTATATATAAAAGGAACATCTCTTATTTTTAAAAACACTTTGTCCAATCATGAGTCATAAAACAGGCATCAACATGTACAATAAACAAAATTGTATGAGTTGTGATCAAAATTTGACCTCAGACTTACAAATATTGATCTACCTTTGTTAAAAACTTAAAAAAAAAAAAAAAAAAAAAAAAATAAACAGTTGTAAAACAATGTCTTAACGTCTCCATAAGTAGATATAGACAGTCAGGAACTTTGATCAAGTATTATTAGTTAGTGATACATATCCATTCTTATTTATTAATCAGGATTTCCTATGCGTCAGCTAACATCACACCTTCATGTCTGTTCAAACTGTTAGTATCTAGAATCTTATGATTAGACGTATTTTCAAAATTATGGTGTTTAGGATTAGAGTTTAGTTGAAGCACCCTGTCAAACTCATGACTTTGTCTTCTTTCTGAAAATTGAGCTGATTTATTCGACCTACTGGAGTTGTCAGTTGACTGGACAGCTACGGATTTAGGGTACGCATTCTGTTGCAGACAACGGAGAGTGGAAACACGATGATTGTGCCAATTACATAGTTTCTTTGTTAATTTAATTCGATTGCAAAATAAATCAAATGAACTGTAGTCAAGATTTGACAGAATAGTTCTAAAAAATTTGGGCGCCGAGTGAGAAGTAGACATTTGTAAAAAATTATATTTGTATAATCTCAGCGATATTGAAATGAGTAATTCCAACGTTTCGTTCGGCAATCTGGTCCGAACTTCTTCAGGGAAATTAATCGAAATTAACATAACAGAGGTTTATATATAAAAGGAACATCTCTTATTTTTAAAAACACTTTGTCCAATCATGAGTCATAAAACAGGCATCAACATGTACAATAAACAAAATTGTATGAGTTGTGATCAAAATTTGACCTCAGACTTACAAATATTGATCTACCTTTGTTAAAAACTTAAAAAAAAAAAAAAAAAAAAAAAAATAAACAGTTGTAAAACAATGTCTTAACGTCTCCATAAGTAGATATAGACAGTCAGGAACTTTGATCAAGTATTATTAGTTAGTGATACATATCCATTCTTATTTATTAATCAGGATTTCCTATGCGTCAGCTAACATCACACCTTCATGTCTGTTCAAACTGTTAGTATCTAGAATCTTATGATTAGACGTATTTTCAAAATTATGGTGTTTAGGATTAGAGTTTAGTTGAAGCACCCTGTCAAACTCATGACTTTGTCTTCTTTCTGAAAATTGAGCTGATTTATTCGACCTACTGGAGTTGTCAGTTGACTGGACAGCTACGGATTTAGGGTACGCATTCTGTTGCAGACAACGGAGAGTGGAAACACGATGATTGTGCCAATTACATAGTTTCTTTGTTAATTTAATTCGATTGCAAAATAAATCAAATGAACTGTAGTCAAGATTTGACAGAATAGTTCTAAAAAATTTGGGCGCCGAGTGAGAAGTAGACATTTGTAAAAAATTATATTTGTATAATCTCAGCGATATTGAAATGAGTAATTCCAACGTTTCGTTCGGCAATCTGGTCCGAACTTCTTCAGGGAAATTAATCGAAATTAACATAACAGAGGTTTATATATAAAAGGAACATCTCTTATTTTTAAAAACACTTTGTCCAATCATGAGTCATAAAACAGGCATCAACATGTACAATAAACAAAATTGTATGAGTTGTGATCAAAATTTGACCTCAGACTTACAAATATTGATCTA